GCAGAGAATTTGTGCTAAGCTTTAATTTTCCTTAATAGCAGGCACAGGATTTGTTCAGAGAGTTTTATTATTGGGTGATAAGTTAAGGTAATTACAGCGGTGGGGCAGAAGGCCAGAAGAAGACAGAGAAATCTAATACCATGAAACATTAAGGCTTAGAGAGTACTTATTTTTTAAAATATACTAGCCAGCTACAAACAGCCTCCTTCACATTTAGGGAAATTTAAACATAATATTGCACCTTGTGTGTTAACATATATAGTAAGATTAAATATCTTGCAGTTTTCACTCTCACTTCTCACATTTACAAATGTGTAAAGGGAAGGGATTTGGCTGAAGTCACTGAGACAGAAGAGGTTAAAATCAGTAGCTAGAGAAAGAAAGAGCTGTAAGACCTTCTGCAAGGGTTTTTACTATGAAAACATTCATGCCTGATTTGTATCTGGAACAGGCAAGTCATTTGTTTGGACTTCAAGGTAGGTTTCCTGTCTCAACTCAGCAAGTTATACCTGTCCAGAAAGACTTAAACCCATTCTTTGTCTCAGGTTTCAACACAGAATAAAGTTTAAGCAAGTGATTGAAAGGTATTTGAATAAAGATGGACTTTAGCAAGAGACTAAAGGTATCTTGCTGATCAAGACCCTAGAGACATGCAGGAACTCTATACCAGTATTACATAAATCTTAAGAAAAGCGGGATAAATTTTTATCATTACTTTCTATTCCATTTCCCACAAAGCGTAGGAAACAGTGGATTTGGGAAGAAACATAATCATTGTTTCTCCTGAAGTATTTTGAAGCCTCAAATGGTGTTGGCTTTTTATATTTTATGTCATTGAATTGTCATAAAATGGTTTTAAAAAAAGGTTTGTGGTAGCATTAAGTAATACTGTATTTGTCTTCCTAGTAGCTACTGACTCAACTGTGTGTCATATGAGCTTTTATTCACACATTTTTGATTCTCTTATTCAGAGCACTGAAAGATATGTCAAGGATGCACTTTTCCCTACTTACTTAATTACTTACTTAATTAATATGACCATCTTTCCCACTTTTTTAAAACAATTATTTAAAAAAAAAATCAGAATTGTTTTGGGTAGACAAAGATCTTTTTCTTCAAGTGTAAATATTTTCCTATGATGCTCATGATCAATATAAACAATTGTGGGTTTTTTAACGCATTAAAAGAAGACTTACCAAGTCTCTAAACATGCTGTATTTCATTTTAATACATAGACTACAATAATGCTTCGCTGTAACACAGGTCCCTGTGCTTTTACAACTAAAAAGCCCAGGTAGGCTCAGGCTTTTGAGGACTAAAATGAGCCCTCAAAATGTCAATGGATTTTCCTTCAGTGAAGGCCTTATCCAAATCTTGTGAAGCTGCTAGAACTCATGAACCACTAAGGCACCTCTTAATCATGTTCTTATCACACGTCATGTTTGCGCTCCACTCCCAAACAGATGAGCTGTTAGGAAGTGAAAAGGCTGGTGCTATCTTGAAGAAAGGACAGCAGCAGCCTGGAAAAGAAGGGAGTCTCAACACTAATAACAGGAGCTGTTTGTGTTCTGTAGATTGCAAAGAAAAACATCAGGGCACAACAGCTTTTTGTAACTGCACACAGCTGGTAATGTCCACATGGAATTGGAGAAGTACAGTGCCTGAAGTTTCTTGTGAAATGAGGTAAATTTCTGTATTTCCTTGTCATGTTATTAATTCAAATTCTAATTGTTTTTGTAGGAGACGCTGTGGTTGCAACCTCAGGCTAGGAGCTTGCAAGGACTGTCATTGGCCAATGAATGCTACTCCTGTTTTTGTCACCCTTCCAATAGGAGGACTGACAGACCTATCTAGAAGAACAAAAAATAAGTTGTCAGTTGAACGTTCAATAGAAAAGTGTCTTTAAAGCTGCCAATGCTGTCAATGCTTCTTTTGCTGTGGAAGATGACTTTTAAACTCAATTTTGGAAATCATTATGCCAGTTGTGGATTTTAACTGGACGCCTTCTCTTCCCTTTTCTAAAGAGCATTCTCAAGAAATTTCAGCATCAGAATTGTCAGTAGCAAGCTGATGAAATGGACCATACTTTGTAGAAATAACTTTTCTGTACAATATGTTTAGAATAATTCCCCGAACCTATTGAAAATTACATTTTCTAGCAGGGAAAAATATAAACAGTCTGATGAAGGTTTAAAAAACAAGAACTAATACCTTATATGGCAAAAAGGAGGGGGGTAATCTCTAAAATTTTGAGGGAAAGAAGTAAGGCCTGTGCCTCACTGGTGACAGAGCTTTGATGGTAAGTTACACACAGAATGTACTATTAGATAGATCTGCCTAGTTCTTGTTTCAGATACACAGGTTTCTTGTTTCTGAATTGCACTACAAAAACCTGATTTCCTAAATAATTGTTCTTTGATTTTGGAAAGATGCTAAAAACTGATTCAAAATTAGCTGCTGTAGGAGAAGAGCTACTTAGCAATGGGCTCAGACATAAATGTGGTGTGGGGAGCCTGGAAAAAGAGGGGAGGGACTGTGCAGCTCACTCACATGATCCCAGTGCTTAAGCATTGCAGTAAATTCTGCTGATAGCACAGTGAGAAATGGTCTCACTTTCCTGTGGTAAATCCCTGTTTTAGCATCTGTAGGCAGAAGGGTCAAATATTTAACTTGGTATTAAATTTAGCAAAATAAACTGAGTTTCTTGCACACAAAACACATTCATGTAAGTTTATTGTCCTATCTGTCTGAAAGGTCAGGAATGGCTTAACAAAGTGTGAAACTGTTGTGCTGGAAGACCTGAAGAGCAGGGTGCTTGAGCAATGCCCAGGCAGACCCTGAATTGTCTACAGCACAGGTAGAAAAAGAGAAAGGTTTGATTAATGTACTTGAACATTTGGAATGGGGCAAGATCCAGTGCAGCTGTGACCTGATGTTCCCACTGCATCTTCTTTCTAGGTGCCCGATTTTTGTAATGGACTGTAATAATGTCTGTCTGTTTAGGGAAATACTATTTTTGTTTACAATGAACAAACAAATCTCAGTGACTCTCAACACTGTATAAGCTTGACACAAGACAGGCTGAGTAAAAAGGTTTGGACACGGGCATTTCATGCTGCATGCTGCTGATGTACAAAAGAACTGCAGACTTCTCTGTTGCAGATTATGAAAGCAACTGATTCTTACCGGAATGTACATACATACACACACACACACATCCCCCTATATTTCCACATTTTTTGAGGGGAAAAAAGCTGTCTTCCTCTTCCCCTTTTTTCTATTTTTTCCCCATCACAGCATAACAACTCATTATTAGATTCCTTGGTATTTTCTCTCTCCCTGCCTACTCCAAGCAGTCAATCCTTGCAGTTGCTTCCCTCAGGATTCTGACAGCTTTAACTAAATGTAGTTGAGAGGGATTTTTCCATTTGTTAATGCTTTCATTTGGAAAATGCATTTCCAATGATTTCTGTAAATATCCATTGTTTCAATGGCAAGGTTGTCTTTATTTCTTGTAACAGAACACTTAGCCTAAATTGTCATGAGTAATTTAGTCCCTGCCTACAGCATGCTAGATTTTTTATTAATTTCTGTCATTAAGTGTTGCAATTGTTAACTGGCTGCTCTAACAGCTGAAGTCTTGCAAAGAAAGTGCAGCTCTCTCTTGTCACACCCCTGAAATGGATAGTGCAAGGGATAGTTTTAAGGTTTGAGGTGATTACGGCCTGGCCCTTTTCTAGTACCTTTCACACACGCTGGCACATGCCGGAAATCACTGGTGCCTCTGAGAGTTAAAGTGGTGGAGAAAACCTTTCTCTCTATTGATTCCAGCCCAGCTCCACTGTATGGGAAAAGCTGAAAGCTTTTCAGCGCATCCCTGTCCTTGCCAGGTCCCATTCTAGGTTGCAGGGTTTCAGGCAAATTCCCTCTGCTGTAGATGATAAAGATTACATTAAAATTATTTGTGTCTGACAGTACTTTTCAGAGTAAGATGACATAAGGATGGATGGACTATTGTTAGACAACATGGGCAGCACCTGCTCACTGCAGGGAGGAAGGAGGAAGATTCAAGAGATGTAGGAAGAAAGCAAGTATAGGAAGAATAAGGAGTAGATGGTGTAAGGTATCACAACCCTGAAACTCAACTGATTTACTGGATGATTTTAGAATATCATGAGAAAGTTGTCTTTTCATTGAAGTTGAAACTTCCCAAATTACAGAAATACAAAGACCTACTTGGACCCCTCACTAAAATTAAGGATGTCTGTCGTGAACTGGGCCAGGGTGTTGGTGGAGCTGACAGGGGAAGAGGGATTCACCAGAATACCGGGCCATGTCAGCCGGCGACATTTTTGGGAGATGATTAGTCAGAGCTCTGCCTCAGAGGGATGATGGAAATCACATACTCTGAGTAATGTGGAGCAAGCGCTCCTATTTCTGATAGAAAGCGTCTGGCAATTCCCTCGAAATAACCGTTTTGGTTATAAACTCGGGGGCGGGGGGAGGGACGGCTGAATTACTTTTCTTAGCGGTTTTTTTTGTTTGTTTGTTTGTTTGTTTTTCCAGTGCAGGTGCTGCCCTTCTTTCCCCAGCCCATTCAGACCCTGCTTGCTTTCCAGGCGGGCAGCCCGGCTACGCGCCACCGCCGCCTCCCCCTCTCCCTCCTGTGTCGGGGGGCCAGCCCTGACGGAGCCGCGGTGAGCAGCGAGCAGCCGCGGTGAGGAGCCGCGGTGAGCTGCCGCGGTGAGGTGCCGCGCTGTCCCGCGGTGAGGTGCCGCGGTGAGGTGCCGCGGTGAGGTGCCGCGGTGAGGAGCCGCGGTGAGCTCGGCGCTGTCCCGCGGCCGTGCCGCCGGTGCGGCGGCAGCGCTGAGGCTGAGGCTGAGACGGCGGCCGCCCTCCCGCTCGCGCCCCGCCCTGAGGGCGGAGCCGGCGGAGGCACCGCCCGCGCGCTCCCCCCGCCGCCCGCCCCGGCGCCCATTGGCGCGCGGCGCATCCCCGTTAGCGCTCGCGGCGCGGTCTCGCGATGCTGGGGCCGCCGCCGCCATATTGTCGCTCTATTTTGATTCGGAGCGCAGAGAGCGCGGGGGGAGGGGGCCGGGAGCGGCGCGCGACCCCAGCGGCGGCTCCGGCTGAGCGGGAGCGGCGCCGCCACAGCCACCGCACGCACACCCCCACACACCCCACCCCACCCCGCCCCGCCCGCCGCCGCGGCAGCACGGACCCCCCTGCCCTCCTTCCTCCTGCTCCTCCTTCCTCCGCCTCCTCCCCCCGCGGAGCGGAACGGCGGCGGCGGGAGGCTGCGGAGAGGGTCGGGTCGGCGGGGTCCCCCCTGCCGGGCGGAGGCGGCGGCGGCGCTGGTGGCGGTAGTGGCGGCGGCTGCCGCCGTGGTTGTGGGGGAGGCGGAGGAGGAGGAGGAGGAGGAGGAGAAGCGGCAGCAGGGTAAGGCTGACCCCGCCGAGCGGGCCTGGTGGCGACTCCCCGGGCCAGTTTCGCGGTCCCATCCCGGGGTGCTGCAGGGAGAGGCGCGGGGGCTGGCAGGGCGGGGGACCCGGGCTCCCGCGGGCGCTCAGCGCGCCCCGGGCTGCGCCAGGGTGAGGGGGACGGGGAAGGCCTGTGCGCGGGGAGGGAGCAGCCCGGCACCCCGCTCTGCCGGCGTGCTGGGGCGGCAGGCACGGAGGGAAGGGACGGCACGGGAAGCCTCCGCGCAGCGGGGCGTTTAGGCAGAGATGGAAACTTATTTTCCTTCACGAGTCGCTGGAGCTTCCCGACGCGGGGAGGGATCGGGGGGCTGCGGCTGCCCGGGGAGGGGCGGGAGCTGCCAGCGGGCTCGCCCGGTTGCTGGAGGGAGGGGGAGAGAGAGGGAGGGGCTGGCCCGGCGCCTGGCAGGTGACAGGTGTGAGTGCGCCGGGCGAGACTCCGCCATTTGAGGATGAGTACCCGAGTGTCTAAGGTGTGAGGTTTTGGTGCCCCGTGCCTCTGCGGGGGCTGGCTGGGCTCGATTCCATATATAGTATATTTGGGACGTTGGTTTCCATTATTCCAGTCAATTTAGTTGTCGAGTAGAAATTCTTGAAATGGCTCTGATAAGAGCGGTTTTGCAGAGAGGAAATGCATAGTGTTTCTCATTTTCTTCCCTTTTTCTGTTTTGTCCCTCTGAGAGACGTGGGAACTCTCTGCGGAAGTGTGTAGTACTCTATCTCATTCATTGGAAGGCTCGTATGAAAAGTCTGAATGCTCAGTCCTGTTAGATGTAGTCAAGCCCTTCAGGGCAGAAACCTGGTGGTGTTCTTTGTGCTGTGCCTGGTGGCTGCTGGCAGGGCCTGATTTGTTCCCAAGACCTGTGGGTATTTCTGTATTAATGATGGTAAGCACATGCATAAAAAAAGGAAATCCAAAGGGATGCTTTGTAAGGAGTGGGTTTCAGGTGTGGTTTTCTAGTAGTAAGTTTAGGATATCTGGTACAGACTTGATAAAGCAGTGTCTGGACTTCACCTGTAGAACTCTGAAAATGGTGCTGCATATAATTTTCAATACTCTAACATATGCCTTCTAAACATCAGCATAAGTCAGGTAGAGTCTTAGACTGTTCACATTAATTCATGTCATGATTCTACCCACCAAAATGGTACTGTTCATGCACTACTGTATGAGGAGGGATAATGATGCTGTAGCAATAGCATTATATTCACTGTTGGCCACAATTTGCTGAAATCAAGAATAATTTTCAGCTTAGCTATTGATTTGCCAGATAATTAGGCATTTGTGTTTCACATACAAATTTCAATTATTTGTTCTTTGCCTATATTGTTGTAAGTGTATTCTGATACCTGCTTTTGGCAAGAGGGAAGTTCCACTGACAGGTTAGGAGAGACATGTCATCAGCTTCAGTGAGTCCTGCTCTCTGTTTTAGATTGAAATTTCAGTCAGTTGTGACTGTGATCCACATGTTTAACTTGGGTATTCTTAACTGCAGATAGTACCTTGATTTGTGCTGCACCAGAATGAACCCTCAATTGAGTCTCAAATTCTTGTAAAAACGGAGAAGACCTGGGTGGTTTTTCTCATGTTGCTTCACAGGGGAGAGAGCCTCCAAAGGGGAAGAGGTAAGGAAGGTGGTTGGGAGAGGTACTCAGTTTGGGTTGTCTCAATTTTGTGTTTAAGAGATACTTGATAAAGCATCATCCCTATCATTACATGTGAGGGCAGGCTATCTTGCTACGCTGTGCTATGCTACCTTTGCTTATGCCAGCTTTTCAAGACTTTGTGAAACGCAAACCATTATCTTTCTCAACATAAGGGAAGTCAAATGATTCTACTCTGTTCCTTTATGTCTGTTAATACAATCATAGAATTCTTGAAAATGGGCACTCTTCCTATGACAGCGTCCTGGTAGAAACTTCTCTTTCCCAACAGTGACAGAACAGAAGAAGATAGTGTGTTTCTACACCATGGCATTGCTTTGAAGGCCAAGGTCTTGTGTTATTTTGTAGTGTTTTTTGGTGTTACAGGTAGCTGGTATGTTTTTTGAGTCTTGTAGAATTAAACCTGTCATCTGTTGAAGAGATTATTCTCAGAAAAAAAAAAAAACCAAACTTTTTTTTGCTATGTAGCTTTAAGGGCTATTAGCAAATTATTTCTTTGTGAGAATGTATTTTGAAACATAAAACTGTTACTGTTCATCCTGTTACAAGTGCTGCCTCCTTATCATGATCTCCATGGTTGGAAACACTGGAAGAAATAAGTTGGTCAGATGTGACCTCAAGTTTATGAAATGACTGTAAATTTAGGACTGCGGGATCAGGCTGATCTTTTCTGAGCTGCTGCAAGCGGAATGCTGAACGATGTTACTGTTGGTGCTTTTACAGAAAACAGAACAAAAATTCCAGTGATTCAGAATTGGATTTTTTTAAAGCTGTATTCAAAATTCAAACATTTATATGTTTGACATGAAAGGTAACTTTTTTACCACGAATGTATACAGTGATTCAAGTTGGGTTTTTCTCACTTCATTGCTGTAGTAGGTTATCTCAATTGGGCAAGTGTGTGCTTTCTGTTTCAAGGAGGAGAAATGCTGCTGGAAGCCCTAAGGCATCTTGAACTCTTCTTAGCAATTTGGTCTGGTTTGGATTTCACATGTTTAAATGCAACTATGAAAGCAAGAAAGCTGTCAGATGTAAAATTGGAAAATATTTTTTTATCAACTTTTCAATGTCATCAGGAGTTTTTCGGTATAATAGTTGTTTCAGTTTCACCCTCTCTCGAGAATGCTTACCAAAAAATCACTGACATAATATTGATGCTTTCCCTGACAGAAGTTTTTGTAGACGTTTATCCTAAATAAAGTTAGGGATTTGTTTTTATTGAACTGATCATCAAGTAAAACTCTCAATCAAGAAATTGCTGCAAATGCTATACAGACATTTACTGAGTTTTCTGGTTTCTGTTACATTGCTTTAGGTGGTGTTCCTTAATTGGTAGTAATTGGATTCTAGTGAAACCAAGTGAAATAGCTTGACATAAGTAAAGTTAAAAGATCTGTGGGGTTTGTGTGTAGTATCCCAATATTCTTGGAGCATGACCATTGCTGAATGAATGGCATCGCTTGGTATATTCCTATTGCCATAGGCGCACTTAAGGTATAGTTAAATACTTAATATTTTTAGAATGTATTAGTTTTTTTTGTTGGTTTGAAGAAGTCAAGCGTAATTTGATAATGTACTAAATAATTTGTAATTTAATTCCTAGTCAGAGAATTTTACCAGAAAACCACTTTTTTTCTTGTTTGAAATATGCATTCTACTCTTAGAAAAATGCTATGTGGAATCAATTTTTGTAGCAATGTGCAAAATGTGTAGCTCTTTTGTATTCTAAGCACAGATGAAGATCAGATTTCGCTGTCTTTAATAATGAGTGGTTTAAAACTCATTCAGATCCTGCTTGTACTATGAACAGAATTTAATTTTTCCATTATTTGAGAATCTGTGTTTCAGCATGAATTTAAACTTGTGCTCCCTTTAGTGTTTAAAAAAGCATTAACTTAGGAATACTCAGTGGCAGAAGAAAAGTGTTGGTTGTATATATGAGTTTTTACAAAATGATCACCCAAGCAACTAGGGCTGTACACCTATTAGTCATGATATTGTTAGGTTTGCTAGAATTTGCCAAAAATGGGACAAAGCCACTTTATATGCTCGCTGCTTTGATGATTAACTTAAGGTAGATTACCTCTTAAATGCAAAGGATCTTATACTTGTTCCAGAATTAATCAAATCTGGTGCTATGTGGTGCTGGCTGGCTGGTCTTCTGGGGCTGCCAATGGAGAAGGCAGAATTCAACCTGCTTTTACTGTCATTGAAAGCATGAATTCAAGTTACTTTTTTCTATGGAGCTGCCAGTTTTCATGAAATTTGTAGAACCCTTTTTATCTGTGAGATTTTATATGTCCTTTAAAATGCACTTGAAAATTATCAGAGGATGCAAGTAATTATTAAAAGGACAGACAAAACACATATGTGCAATTTCTTTAAGTCGCCTTTGTTAACTGGACATGCTAGGAAATAAATTTTTGTAATTTGGGAGTTCAGATTGTGGATAAAATGTTGAGATTCACCTATGTTGTATGGGGTTTTTTAAAGAAACAGTTGTTGGTTTTGTATATTTGTGTAGTGTATAAACTGTCTTTCATTTGCTTTTCTAAAGTCACAAATCTTGAGTAGTCATATTTCATTTAATCTTGTGTGTCAGTAAAATTTGAGCTCATCAAAATTTCAGGAGAGAAATTAGCCAAGAGTCAAGGTGTGAAAGGTGTTATAATAATGTTGAACTAAAGTTAAATTTGTTAAAGTTAATGGCTTCATTAAGATCATCTCTTTAGGGGAAAGTTTTGCATTAATTTAGCAGTTACCTGTACTTAGCTGCCAGTCGTCTGTGGGGTAAGAACCAGGTATGAAGTGCTGTACTCTTTTCTCCAGTCAGTAGTTAGAGGACGTGAGAGGTTAAGTATACTGTGGCCAGTGCTTGGAAGAGAGTGGTAAGATAATAGGCATCTGGGATAGAGGTGGAACATGACTAATTGGAGCACGAGGGCATGGCTGAGACACAGAGAAAATCTGTGGGAAATGGGGATTATATTTTGCTGTTTCTGGGACAGCACTCTGAACAAAAATCATGTTAAAATAGGTTCTTGAGAAGATGAAGATTGAAAAAAAAAAAGGTTTGGTGATACAGTTGCTTCCACGCATTACAGAGCCTCTTGAGCTGTCCTGCGCTTGTGTTTGTGTGGGTCTGATTCAACAGGAGTGCCCAGACTGGCACAGAGTGTGAAGCAACGTGGGGCAAGAATGTGCATGAGTAAGGGAGCAGCTACATAAGTGTGTAAGACATACATGTTTGTCTCAAAATACACCATCAAAAGCATTATTTTATTGTTATATCATGTATAGTTACAGCTTCTTTACATAATGTGACTTACATGTTGGTTGCATGCTGGTAGTATTATTCAGTCATTGTCTCTGTGGCCAATGGTACATGTGATGTACTCCCAGGTCTAACTGATTTTTTGAGCCATGGTATTATCAAGTTGTTTTAGTAAGCCTGAAATTATTTGCTTTGTAATATAGATTTGTTACAGACTAAAATTTTTATGTAGTTTCTTGAGCCTAGAAATAATTATTTGCCTGGTGCACCTCTATTTTGTCCACAGTGCTAGTAGAAGTGGATAAGAAATCACTGTCAGATGGGAAGTACTCTTTAACAGCAGCCTTTTAGTTTTATTTGCTGCAGCCTGTCTTTATTTTTCAAGAATATGCTTTCCTGTTATCAGGTGTTTTCATAGTTGATTTGTAGAAAGATTGAGTATAAATATGTTTAGGGAGTAACTCTTACAGACTCAAAGCTAGGGCTTTAGAATGCATTTTTCAAAGGAAATTGCTCTGTGTGTTAAAATCTCTTGCTGATCCATCAGTTTATCAGTGTGTTCTCAGAATGTCTTTTTTAACAGGGTAAATGAGGCAAGTTTAGTAAAGTAACTAAAAAAATACAGTAAATTTCAAAATTTAACTATGCCACAGACATTAGCTACTGATCTGATGCCTAAGAAGCTGTGAGTGACATGTACATTCAGATAAATTATGTCTTTTCTTGAAGCTATCTGGGTTCTGGAAATTGATTTCTATTTCATACTGAAGGCTAGAAATGCAAAAAAGTCTACACATGTAAGTCCTAAGCCTGATTTCCTCAGATAGAAAAGAATTAACTGTTTCACCTATATATAGGGGGGGGAAAGCACACAATTAAATGAACATTTAAGTTGTACAGTGTGGTCTGTAATTGTATCTTTTGTCAATTCATGTTGTGTATAAACTGTTAAGAACTGAAGTCTCGCCTCCCTGCATCCGTGCTGTGCTACACATCGCTTTGCAATACTCTCCTGTCTTTTTACAGCTTTTATAGTTTTTTGGGTTTTCTATTTTTTTTTCTTTACTCTTTGAGAAATCTGTGACATGCAGAATTTATCTCCTCCAGCCACTTTACTAACATCCTATTATTTTTGTAGGCAAGCTAGAAAAGAGGAAATCTGGTCATTCATATCCTCTCCATTTACCTTGTCTAGGCATGCTGATCTGTACTTTATAGCTGAAGCATTAGTGCCCTCTTGTTTATACTTGACTATGCCATTCTTTTTGTTCTAGTCCTTCTGAAGAGATTCAGCACTTGTCACTTCATTCCCATTTTGTCTCTTCTTCAGAGTATCATTACTAAGTTTGCCACTGCTTCATTTAGGCTTTCCTGAGAGAATGATAGAAAAAAAAAGATCTTGAGTTCTGTACTTGGATTTCTTTCTATTCATTCAACTGATTCAAACTGTAACTTTCCATTTGTTGAGCAAGCATTTGTTTTTCAAAGGGAATAGTAGGTTATCTTTCTTAAAGAGCCTTCTTAAGTTTAACAGCCTTGAGCCTGGGAACAGACTATCTCCAGGAGCTCAGCAAAAGTGTGCTTAAAAAGGCATTTCAGATTGA